ATTAAGTTGCTTAATAAAATTATATAAAATTAATTAATTATTCAATAATATGTAAAATTATATAAAAATTATTAAAAAAATTATCACTAAATGGAACCAGGAATTCAGTGGCTTTTTCTTCTGATTGTTTTTGTCCAACTTTACATCGTAGCAGCAGTGACTGATAGTCGTAATGGTAAGTTTGATTCTTATTATTATTGTTTAACAAAACTTTTGTTGATTGGGGAAATGAGAGATTTCTTCTGCAGACGTTTTTCTTTATCATCTTCATTTGGAGGAAAGGAAACGAAACCACGAGTTAATTAATACTGAATATCAAAACCTTCTTAATTAAATGATGATTATAGACTTGATCTTCATTTCTAGATTGCTCGTTATTACCCTTACAATTTCTTAGAGTGGTCGTTGTGGGTTGCTGGCTGCAACGAGAAATAGGAGCTGATCTGCAAAGTTTGTGTTGGAATTATTGCTAGAAACGTGGCAATCAAATCTGCAGAAATGAAGAAATGAAACTGCCATGAAATGGCAGCAATGAGGCTGGAAATTGACAGCAAATGAAGTTGCAATTTGACAGCAAATATGGTAGCAATTTAGCTGCAAATATGGTGAAAATGAAGCTGTAAAATGACAGCAACAATGTGCAGCAAGCTGAGCTGCAATGTTGATGAAATGAGGTTGAAATGAGGCTGCAATGGGCAGCAAATGCAAACAGCAAATGAAATGCACATGAAATGCAAATGCAAACTCAAATGCAAACGAAATGAAAGCTGCAAGTGGCTGAAGAGTAACAGCAACCATGCGGGAAAAGTGGCTATTATTGTTCAAATTTAAAATGTACTTTATTGTTTTTTAATGTAGAAAGTTGTTTGAATTTTGAATTAAGATTGTATTCTCCTATGTATAGGAGAGTTTATTAATGAGAAAAGCGAGTTGAAGTCATAAACTTCTCTCCATTTCAGCTTATGCTCTGTTTTTCATCTTCCTCTGGGTCTCCTCTCCATTTCTTTGTTTTAAAAACCCAACAGTTTGCTTCTAACATATTCTTTCTGGTGCATACATATAAAAAAGTTAGTCAAGTTTTAATTCTTCAGTGCTTGTGGCTTTTAAATTGTTTGGCAATTAAATCTCTTTCAAATTGTGAAGGGTTAAAACTTATATAAACTCATTTTAGTTAGGACTCAATTGATTTCAAATCATTAGGAAATCAGACTCCAAAATTCATACTGCCTTATCGAGTGAAACTACATTTATTTTTGATTTGGTGCAGCTGGTGTTCTATTTGCTCTCAATACTGGGTACAAGAACTTC